AGAACCAACATTTGTTGCGATAACCTCTACAGTCACTCGGTTTACACGTAGGCTGAGTGTCAAGTTAATAAGCAATATTTACGTTCCTAAGCCTATCATGTGGGTATATCTAGTCATTACGTTGGGATTACAGAACTTTGTTTGACCAGAAAGCTGAAACTTGTATTGTAGATCCAGTGAAAGCTAAATGTTCAAGTTCAAAATGACCATAGCTTCTGGACTAAACGTTTTACTGAACTGAATGAAATAATATTTAATAGAATCGAAAGCAATGACCAACAAACCTTACTACCACTTTAAGTTAACATGAGTGTGAAACTGAATGAAAAGTAAGTTTTATGATAAATATGTTTCGAGTTTCACTTTCAGTATGTCTATAGGATTTAAACTTTTTATTTTGAATTTGCATTAATACAAAATTTGGTTCAGTTTATCATAAGTCAATTTCAAGAGTTCTGCTTACAATTCATGCTTCTCCTCTCTGGTGCTATCATGCAATAAAAGTACTTTTTCCAACTGAATTAAATACATACAGGAAATTGTATCAACTTTCTGATTTACGTATTTCTGACATAGATGCACCTGAATGTCATTTGTTTTTCATATGACTGACCATTCACAAGTTAGGAACACTTCACTATAAATACCGAATTCACTTTAAAAGCTTAAAAAAAAGAATAAAACTCGGACACTGTGGTGGAATCTAATTCCATCTTGTTTGATTTATTATATGCATCAAAAGGAAACAGTATTATTGACTGCATAATGTTTCATACACAGTTCTCCATAACCATACCAAATTCTTAACTTTGAGATGTGATTTACATAGTTTTAATTCTTGTGCCTTTCTCACGGGAGTTGTAAAAGTTTCTATATACCTGAAACAGGAGCCAAATCATTCTTATTGAAAATATTTGGTATTAAATCGGTAAATAAAAATTCGGTTAACGATCTATCCTCTACCTATTCTATTGTGTGCTTGATTACACTCTTGAAGGTGATTGTTTAGAAAAATGTGTAGATTTCATTTACCTGTTTGGTTGTTTTACTGCTGGTGTAGGTGTAGATGATGAGATATCCAACAGTATTTCAAAAGCTCGAATATCGTATGCCACTAGAATCATCCTGGGTTACAAAATAACAACACGTTACCGTCAAAGGTCTCTCATACAACTACAATGGTTTGGATCTTTATCTGTAAGCCTTGACCGAGAATTTTCCGTCACTGCTATCTTCACAAGATTTCTTGCACACAATGGGAACCATATTTAATTGTTTCCGAGGTCTGATGATGTGTTCGAACATGATGATAACAAGTGAGACCGTTTTGAAACCAGTTTCGAATGCTTTAACATATCCTCCGTTAGAAGTTCAGTGGTTCCCACTGTTTGTCATTTCTGAGACTAGTTGTGAAAAACAAAGGGTTTATTTTATACTATGGTTTCAAGTGATGAAGGACAGTTAGGTTGGTTTAGTATCTATTGGTAAGTGATTTTCTAGAGGGAGTACTGAGAACACGTAAATCAGTGGCTTGAAACGATTGAGCACACGCTGCAGAATTCGAACTATTGGTGTTGTTTACTTGAGTTCTCTGTTGTAAAAATATTATGCAGATATAGTGAAACAAACTTGTGTGATAACATCTTTTCTGATCATATTGATATTCGCTCCCTATTTTTTTCTCTATACTGTACTGTTATTCTACGTGATATTTTAGTGGGCGTTGCTGGTAAGAATGGATATAAGTAGTATATGTTGAGAGGGTAGCAGAAATCATAGGGAATTACCAGCAATGGGTAAGGATTCCACCAAGAGAAACGCAAGAGATAAGGCAGGCGTATGAAGAGCAAATGAAGAAAGAAGCAGAAGAGGAAATGAAGCAGAGATTGCAAATGACGGTTTTAGTGCTAGGGGTGCCATATTTAACAACTGCTGTCCCACTAGTTGACAATAAACATTTCTTCCTTTGTACCTGCCTTCTTGTTTCGTTCAATTTATTAGTATCTACGTTTTCACTGAGTTTTTGGATCGTCTATAAATAGATGATACTTTTTCACTGTGCAGATGCAGATTCGAGTCCTATCAAGATATACCTCCTACTTTAGCTTTCCATGGACTGTCTGTCAAATTTATTCATTGTTAACACAACAAAACTCCCTTGTGTATGCGTTTGTCTGGTAGGGATTTTTTCAGGTTTATGGCCCCAGTAATTTATGAAGCAATTTTTGGTATGTTGCACAGTCCAGACCAAAAAATGTCTGTTCAACATGTGTTAGAATCTATACATAAATTCAGATCAGGCATACTCAGGTTTCCTGATAGTAGTATTGTACTGACCTTCGATTTAGCCTCCCTACTTGACCTTTTTTCAACTCTCATCTCTTGATAACCTTTCATACAAATACCTACGGCAAGTAAGTGTTTGATAATATTGCTTTTTCTTGTAAATATATCGCACGATTCAGATACATTATACCTAATTGGCAGCTGAGATGATCTTCGTAAAAATCTTCTACTATCTTAAAATGAGTATACCTCCTCGCAGTGGCCTGTCATGTATGGTTAATCTATTTGAACACTTAGAAAAACACTTTTTTCGAATTCGCTAGGATTACTAGTTTCATAATCACATTAATCAGTTGCGGTCATGAAACTTCACGAAGTGGTGGTTAGATCACACGTGACGTATGTCAAACCAGCACCTAAAGCAACATCTTATGAGTACTGAAGTAAAATACGTTAAAAAAGTGACCCCATTACTATATAAAGTCAATAACATACGGTTTGCACCATGAGATTTCTACTTTGGATTCCTAGAAGCCTTCGAGAAACGAGAGCTAGAGACTGCAAGTGATGGAACAGACTGTCATGGGTTAGATGCATCTCCATTTGAAAATAATCGGAAAACATCCAATTAATTTCTCGTGTTGGCATATAGCTACTTCAGATTGCTGATACCACTTGTTTCAGTTATCATCACTACCGTGTTGGTATCAAGTGTGGAAACTTTCAACGAAACACAGTATTGTCAGAATTGAACTTCTTTACGTCTGTTTTGCACAGGCTGAGATCATAGATATTTCATTACGTTTAGCACAGATAAAATGATATTACTTAAGCTTCATAGAGATCAAGTAGACATGTTAACCTGCTTGAAGACACTTCAAGGAAGAGAAAAACCAATGGCAAGGGAAGGTATTGAGTTGACTGGGCAACCGTCTCTAAATCTCTGATTATTCGGATTCTGAAGCTACGTTTATTTTCATTCACTTCATTTGTAGTGCTGAGACACTCGCTGCTAAAATTCCGTAGCCAGTGATAAGATGTCAACACTGAACACGCTATATTTACAAAGCAGTAAGAAAAGCTTCATGGTTATTTCTCTTGAATGTAATAGGTTTCACGTGATTGATGCTTTTCTTGTCTTCTGTAATCTTTTTTTGTGATTTGGTTGTTACCGAAATTCTATGCATTAAAAATAATAGACAGTATTTGAAATAGTAACTTATTAGTTCTAGAATGTAACTCAACAGAAGTCTAATATTCTTTCATATTGCAATGAAGCTTTACGCACCGGCGAAAGAAAATGTACTGTCAGATAGCTCAATCACCCGTATGCACTTAGTACGGCTGGTCAGACATTTTTCAAACAAGTACAAGAGATCTACGAAATGCAAAGAATTGTCGTAAACCTAAAGTAGTACGAAACAATTCCATAGTGCTTCCTTAAACTGAATTTGCTTTCAACTACTGCTGAAATGTTACCACGAGATGAACTGGGGTATAATTGTTATCTAGCTTGGTGTTTGCAAAATGAAAAAGCCAGATAACAGTTGCATTTGATATTAATTCACTGTACTTTGACAACCCTAAAATATATAAACCAGATTCACTTGAAATGCAACGCACTGTATTTAAAACTTGTGGCGTTTCTTCAAGTAGGCTGTAAAAAGTAACCATAAAGACAAGTTTTTTTTTGTTTACAGAAATTTATTATTGTAATATTTTTCATCACGGTGAACGAAAGTCTATGCTGCACCAGAGAACGTATATTGGACACGAAAGATAAGGGGGAAAAGGTATTCGATCATTAAGGAGAAAATTTAACTGTATGAAGAGGAAAGAGAGAGACAAAGGGAGTGCACACATGTGGCGATTACAGTACAGTGTTGATTACGAAGCATCAAGCAAACACAAAAGTGGAGATTTGGACGGAGAGGATGTAAGAATGGAAGGAAGCATAATGCAGTAGAAAAACACACAAATAGCACAACGACTAGACGACAAAGATAGTTTCGAAAAGTGCAGAAAAGGGTTACAATGTAGAGTAGAATTGAGACAAACAATTAAGAATTTAAAGATGCGGGTAAAAAACAAAAGTTAAGTAGGCAGCCAGGAGGTAAACCATGAAAAGCAAATTCTGCTGTGCCAATTTTAGCCATTTAGGATATAACACTGAGAAATATTACGAATAATAGTGGTAGTCAGGTAACGATAAGATTTAGGTAAATTAACTCCAGAAAACAGAAAAAAAAAAATCTGAAGATTATCAAAATGCAAAGTTGGGGTCCCCGTAAGACGGATCACGAGTTACGAAAAGCTTTTTAAAAGCAACGGAACTGAATCTTCTTTCTCATACGAGTTCATTCAAATGGTAGCTGATTACAGAAATACGATAAAATAAGAGTGCACAGTGATGTAGACGTATGAAGAGACAAAAGCAATATCTGATCACTACTACATCATAGTTGAATTCGAATTCGCATCTGAATATGAAGCTGAAGGTGACACGACAGGGAACCTTAGACATTCACTGTTGTGTGAATCAGCACACACTTGTCTATTCTTCAAACCTGTTGAACTAAGACTTGATAAAACAGAACTACCACAGTTGGAACTAATAAAATTCGAGGGGATGACAGTGCCTGCCGGTGATGAGGAGCCAACAGGACCAAATGTCGTGAAATCAAAACAACTAGGTTTTTCATCATTGTGATTTATCATCGCAAAGTGTGCACCGTTGTTTGTATTGGACGTCGAAATAATGAGTGTGGGTTGGTGTTAGTTGAGTCATCACACATTGGATTATTAAAGTTCATATCACGATGTGATCGAAACGACAAGTCTTCATGATGGTTTAAATTTATGCCAACTGTTTGAACTGGTTCAGAGGAGAACGAGTCGGCAACAATTCGAGGGTTAAAAGAGTTAACTCCTGTTGAAACGGCTGTCATGGACTCAGTAGCACATATTGATGAATTCGCAACCACTTCTGTAGATAGGAACGATGATGTTGGATTAATACCCACAGAATGCGAGTAAGGGAAAATATTGGAAGGAATATCATTCTGTAAAAGACCAGGGGGTGGGACAAAAAGAGGTGGAGGAGATGCAGCTGGGGCTGAACTTCCAATAGGCAGTGGTCTGGTGCTGCATAACGGCATAGAACTTGATGGCAAAATTCTGCTCAGAAGTGCATTATCATATGAAGAGTATCCTCCATTTAAACACTTTAAGCCCAAGGTTTCGAAATGATTAGAATGAAAACCAGGAGAATCGAAGAGAATGTTCGAATGTGGTAGTTTATCGGGACGAAAATGCATTCTATTATTCATATGACAATGACCGTTTAGGTTTGTCTGATAACTTAATTCGGTATTTGTTAATGCTGATGACGGAATACTACCATTGGAAGGAGAACAATGACCGAAATAATCCAAATTATTAAGGTTAACAGAATTATTCAATTCAGAAATTCCATGAATATTTCTATCAGTATGAGAAAAATTGGAAGTTGAGACGGGCTTCATTTCGCCCAGGAATCAGAGAAAAATACATTCGACTTTTGACTAGATAAATTATTCATTGAAGTAGACGCCTCATAAGTAGTCATGGTATAGGAGTGATTGTAAGAATTTAATCTGCTTGATGAAGGAAGATTGGAAACATTCCGATCTATATTATTTGGTTCATCAATCTGAGTTTTATTAAAGTTTGTGTACAGTTGTGAAGCACCTAGGCTGGAATATGAGTTGATTGCACATTCTTCATTAGAAGTAACTTCCAACAGAACCGTACTGTTCGGAGGTTTAGCACTGTTTGACACTGAAGCATTCATTCTGCTGACATATTCACAAAGATTCGGAGTTAGACAATTCAAGCGCTTATTCAGTTCTACAATTTGATATTCTTTTTTTGTTAGTGTAGCTGAAGCGAAAGCATGATGAAACAGTTGAATATTTATACAAAATATTCAGAAAAGTAATTAATTTCGCTGAATAAATTAAAAAACAGGAAATAGGAAGGTGCTTGCTTTAACTTAATTTACAGTCACGACAAAGTTATGTGACAATTTTGAAAACTTTATCATACAGAAATGTTGTTGGGATTCTATTACTATCTGAAAATCAAAATGATCAAGTGGACGGAGGGATACATGGTATTAAGCTATTAGATGTAAATGGCAATTACCAATTTACAAAACTATCTAGTTCAGTAACTCAGGTTAAACTAATGTTAAAACTGTTACTGACAATCTTGACATCAAAAGAGTGTACTCAGCAGCCTTGTAGACATTCGTGCAGCAGACAATGAGCTCTACCGAGTGTTTGAGAATTAATGATACTACCCGGTTGTCTAAACCTCGGTAGGTAGAACGGGACTCGAACTCGTGACCCATTGGTTGAAAGTCACCTCCCTGAACCAATGAGCCACAACTCCAAACAACCGTGACTTATTTGCGCACACTTGCTATGTTAGGCCTTGTCAACTTCACCGACGTGATATATTCATCGTTTATAGTATACTTTCATGTAGCATTTTCGTTCCTGTTGCTTATGAAAGTTGAAAATCTCATTCTTCATATTGTTTAATGGATAAAATGTTACCCCGTGTGTTGCAAAAGATTTCAGTGATACATCTTTGATTTGTATATACTACTAAACCCGTATACAACCCTACATACGGACTTACTAGTATATACAAGTCAAAGATGTATCACTGAAATCTTTTGCAACACACGGGGTAACATTTTATCCATTAAACAATATGAAGAATGAGATTTTCAACTTTCATAAGTAACAGGAACGAAAATGCTACATGAAAGTATACTATAAACGATGAATATATCACGTCGGTGAAGTTGACAAAACCTAACATAAGGAGTGTATGCAAGATTGTCAGGATATATTTTCAAAGATTATTTTCATTATAGTATATGGTTTCCAATCCTATAGAATATAGTTATTTTGGAATTAAGTTGATCAGAGATGGGAAGAAAATTTAGCTAATGAGAAGATAATCACCGAACCAAATAAAAAGTTAATCTACAAAACATCCATTCCGAAAACTCATTAGCATCACTATTGACGGAATCTCATGCAGAGAAACTAAAATTATCTTCAATTCTCAATAACAATATCTTGATCGAATCAACTGCTCTGCTTTAAACATCATACTTTTAAGGAGACAGAAAATGTTGATATGTACGATATTCGGTAAACGATTACAAGCAGATTTTTTCTTCAAATATACCTTAGAAGGAAAATTGTCAACACCAGCAGATTAAATACATTTAACTGCACAGTTTTAGAACATAGTACAGAAGTGTTTTAATATGATTGATACGTTAAGACTACATACTGCTGATAAACAATACAAATACAGAAACCTCTAGGATGTTTTTCTAAAGGCAAGTTAGCTTACAGGAAAAGCTGTCAGCGTCTTATCTTCTAGAATCTAATGATATCGGTATTATTTCAATTATTCAATTCATCTATTCGATCTTTCAATTTCGACAATGTCAAACAACGACAGTCTATTCACAATTTATTCCTTTCTTAATAATTCAACCCTTATCTTCATAAATCTGTGTTCGATTTGATTTGATTGAACTTATTCATTCATATTTTTTCAGGTACTCTTTATTCTAACGGGTTGTTTACAAAACCAAAATGAGAATCGAAATCATACAATCACTGTATGCTATGATCGTATATATTCATTTCATAGCAAACCAGTGTATATATACACTCAAATGGCTCTTCTAACCATAATATACAAGTTAATATAAAGAGTTGAATGCAAAAGATTATCAAAATGATCACTATTTTAAATAACTATGAACTGGAATACGGAGGATAAATGGGTTTTTTTCCCGTATCTTTCGTTTTCGATTAGTGGTAAATTAACGTGCAAAAAATGCTGGAAGGAAGGGGGAGGCAAATCAATTTTTTAGAAAGTATAATTTAAAAACCATGAAATAAACAATTTCGACAGGGCTGTCAGTCACCTGGAAATATGGCAGTGTTAAGGCAGTAAAAAAAAATCTAGTGACTACGAAAGCACATCTCTTGTTTTACACTAGTCACTTTACTCTTCACAAGGCACAAGTATGAAAGCAGTAAGATGTTTCCAACCAACTAATTATGCGTAAATGCACAAATAAAAATCTCAAGGGATTCATCAAGCAGAAACCTTCAGAGTCTGTATCTTAATGAAGTATTTGGAATACTGAGGGTTAGAAATCACAACTAAACTAAAGATTACTTCTACTCAGAAGCAGGTTGATGTTCATAGGATGCTGAGTCTATACATTTCAGTAACACGATCAAACAACCCAGCTGAGAGAACATAATACAACCAATAACACAAAAGCAAGTCTTAAAATTGTTGACTGCTGGTTTGTGCAACTCTGAAAAATATTTGTAAATTGTAGGAATTATTGGTAATAGGACGTCAACATTCAGAAATAACCAGTTAAGTAACCTAGAAATACTTAGAGAAGTGTAGCAAAAATAATTTTCCTGATACCTCGAAAAAGTACTTAGGCAGGATGATGTTAACTTTTTTGAATCGCTTTCCTAGCTTTTGAGCTACGCATACTCATGCTTATTGCATTTACGTATTCTAAAACTACTGCAACGCGTCACCCCAAGCACATTTAACAAAAAACATCTACAGATTAATATTCAACCGTAAACTAATCAGCTCAATGTCATCAGAGGTGTGAGATTAGAGATGTGGTATCACAAGATAGTATATCTTATAAGATGCTTAGCAGCAGCCAAAAAGAAGCCCAAAATGTAGGTTCCATTGTTATTAGTACTCAATGAGGTGTAAATGAAGAATTGGGAATAACTTAAACGTGATGACATAAATACACATCTCTGGGCATCATAGTAACGAAGGTCATTTATGAGTCACTTACTTAACAAGAGGTACGTCTTGAAATCTGGATGTAATCTTAGTTTTGAACGACACAAGACTGTTTAAATTCATACTTATAGACTTAACCAAATTTTATAAGGTGTAAAATAAAAAAAGAATCATCAGAATATGACCTAAATCAAGTGAGTGAAAGTGCTCAAACTAACCATTTAATTCTGTTATTTCTTTTAGAGAAGAATGATAAGCTGTCATAAGCTCTTGCTTCATTTTATCTTCCTCCTTTAGTGTATCTGTAAGACGTTGGTTTTCTTCTTGCAGAGAGTTTACACGAGACGCAAGATCATTTAATTCAGACTCGGTTATTTCATGATTTTGGCGACGTGCAGTCAAGTTATAATGCTGTTCTAAAGAGATAGAATTAGACTGTTTTGTTCGTTCTTTTTTAGTTTGCTTTTTCCATGACTTATCCGATGATTCGTTTAATCCATGAGTAAAACGTTCTGCATTTAGTGCTGAAAGTTGGTTGTCTTTAAGCGTTAAAGCTTTTGTAAGATTTTGCAATTCTAATTCTAATTCACGTCGTCTTGCAGCGCACACTTCACTGTTTTTGCAAATTTCGACACCAGTAAGCTCACAGGAACTGTTTCGTGATTCATTCATTGAAGCTCTGAAATGAAATATACAAGTTTAATATAATCTTTAGAAGAAACAAACAATCGAAAGAGGAAGCAAAAAGAGTAAACACAAAACGTATATATATATATATATATATATATATATATATATATATATATATATATATATCTGGAGTTTTTAAATCACAAAAGAAGTCTCGACAGCTGATAAATGTCCACGAAAGACGAATATTAGACCAAACATTATTGGTCTCAGGAATCGCGTTCTTGAATATTTCGTCTTTAACAACTGACTGTGGAAATCCCATGGGACAAAGTGAGTTTTAATTTTGCTGCAATCCGGTACCTGATTGAGTAGACACCCAATATCGGTCACTAGTGTTGTTAACACATATAGTGTACAGATTAGTGATACTACCAGGAAGTGCAAACAGAATTCAGTTCAAGAGGTTTGGAAACATAATTTTTGTTTCAAAGTTATTACTGAAGCATACAATCACTTCCCTGAGCACTATTAGTGTAGTGTGCTGAGGCACGCGCGAGGATAAAAAAAAGCTTCTTAAGTAGTAAGCTAAAGATAAAGGTTAATGAGAGGAAACTATTAAAAGAACTAAAACTGTAAGAAATATATGGTATTGTACAATCTTTGATATTTTCTTTGTGCTTTGAAGTTTCTTTAGCGATTGGATTGGTTTTACGGGGTAGGGTTGCTAGACCTATGCCCAACCTTCCCTCTTTACCCATGCTAAGAACCGGCTAGTAACTAGTGAACTGGTTAATAATAAAAGGTTTTCTGGACATTGTTGTCAAGAGAATCAATGCACTACAATTATTCATTCTTTTTTCCTTGCCAACCACTTCGTAACAAAATGAAATAACTTGCTAAACACCATACAGACTGCTTAAGATGACATGAACAATATCGGTTGGGAAAACAAACCTTACTCACTTAGAATCTGTTGCTTTCGAATTATCAGTTACACTAGATGAGGACTCTGCTAGATTTTCTTCTGTTTGTTTGCTAGCTTGCTGTTTGAACTGTTGTTCAAGAAGCAAACGATGTTTACGTTCCTCAGCAAGACTCTTCTCCGCTGCTTGTAAATTTGCGCGATCAGCCTGTAACAAAAGTTTGGACATAGGATTAAAAGAGCGGTTTAGGACACAGTTTTAATGTAGGTAAGTTTGGTAGAAACCAAATTACAATATGACAATTTTAATCGTTGAAAGAGCGCATATAGCTACTCGAGAAGCATGTATTTGACCAAGCCATTCAATAGATACTTTACAAACATAAGATGTATTCTGCAGTACGTAAAAAATCCTGTGACCAATAACATGGAACAACAAACCCAGACCGAATTAATAATAGTAAGACAAAAAAGACTTTCCCCAGTGATTAATTTGAAAAAACTTCAACTAATAGACACTGTTTAAGAAGACCATTTTGTAGGTTATACAGATTACATTCTTTTCAGTTCGATAAGTTGCTTTGCAGAAGAAAAAGCAAAAGAGATTTTTACTAAGATTTCACTTAGTTGTGACATTTTTATTTACAGCTGAACATTTAGAAATAACGAGATTTATTCTATAAATACTTTCATGTACTAATCACCATAATAACAGTACAACCAGTCTCAAAAAGGAAAACATTGTGATGGTTATATCTACCTCCAAATACTGTCAATGATGGGTTGGTAAAGGTTTACCAGTAAATAACACAAAAAAAAAACGGTAATGCATCAAATAATTCAAATTTTTATGTATAAAGAGTCAAGGGAAACTTGCTAAGATTACCAAATAACTATTGATGCATAGCAGAAAAGTTATGTAAGGGAGTAGGTCATCAGAATGCTCCAGCTACGTTATATTGGTTAGAAGACCATTTTCTTTAAACTCCCTTATACCACCGTAACCAGAATGAAGATGGCATAACTTAAAGTGGTTACAACACCACACTAATCGAGGTTAGAGTAAGTGCACTGTGATTCAAAGCATTGTTAAAATCCTACCAGACGATCAGAATCCTAAGTATCGGCTCACTTTTCGTTACGAGAAACAAAAGGAAAGCGTTAGCTAAATAACTTTGAATTTTGACTCCTGCCAAATTTTTTGGAAAATGATCACATGCTATGCTCAAGATGTACCTCACCTCATCCATTTCTCAGACACTGCAACAAGATATCCAGTTTCAGTAGTCAAAATCACCGAAATCTGAACACACATGTAACTTTACAGAAAAACCACTTTAGATTACAGATGACTGCTTTTTCGTTTATCCTAATTTGATTTACATAACTTCAAACCGAAGAGTTGTGAAACCTAAGACCATTACACGCGACAACTTCAGATACATCTGAGGACCTAAAAACACGATATATTACTTTGAAATTATAATGAATCAATATCTTCTTACAACACGCTAACGTAGGCTATATTATTTGATGTGAAAACTGAAAAAGCCCTCCAGCCACTTAGCTGAAACGCATCAGTATCTTGACACGACCTCGCAAATATAATATTCCATCCAACTACGCTACTGTGTACTTTCTTCGTACCGTATTCCTGGGTGTATAACAAGTACGAATAGTCAGTGATTAGCCTCTGCATCTGTCAAGTTCGCACCGGGACAATTCTTAAACCTTATTTAATCCATGTGGTTGTTAAACTGTTTGTTAGCGGTGCACTACATGGTAACTTCTCATAAGATAGAGGAAGAAGTAATCCAGTTCCACAGCTAGTGACAGGCATAAAGCATCTTGTAACACAAGTGCTGCAGAAATATAAAAGATGGTCATGAAGGAAAACCTTACTTCCATATAATTGTCGGTAGGTTATCAGTATTCCTAACACACTAGCATATATCGACCAAATTCATGCTCGTTTCACCTTCTTCTTTCTACAGTGTGAATGGATCTAAATAAGGTCTAGTGACTCCTTGAAAATAGTTGTCATGATCATTCAGTTGGACTTTGACTTTGCCAGGATGTTTTCAAACATTGAAATACTGGTCCATATAGCTGCAGCGAAATTACCATGGTAATTTCTCAGCTCTACAAGAAACTAACTTTGCACATTTTCGCTCAACAAACAAATAAAAGAGAAATTCTCTTCCAGGGTAGTTCCACTCGATACAAAATGGTCACTACTTAAAGCAGCAGTTTTATTTAACGACTTAAATGTTACTTTCTCTTAGCTAACGAATTGCAATAAATCAGTATCTTCTTGCAACACACCAATGTAGGCCTCATTAACTACGAAAATTCTCATTGAGGTGATACTGTTAATATATGGGCTGAAACTACACACTCTTATCTGCATTCACCAACGACTATAATACCTACTTCAAATATCGTTACAACCAGATGTTAACTCAGACTTCTTTAATGAACCTCGAACACAAACCACAGAAAGTGAATAATCAGTTCTAGTGAAACACGCCTGAAGCAGACAGGTAAACAGACAAAACAACAACGAACCCGGAACATATGTGCATCAGCTCACCAACACCTCACAGCATCATGCATGAAAGAAAAACAGCAATACTAAAGTGGACAGAACTGTATGACAGGAATGATGACAAATGGATGAAGGTTAAAGAATATGTTGGAGACATCGAAGACGGAGAAGAGTGAACACATCTGTAACATTCTTACCAATTTTCAGCCATTGATTCTCAGTAGCATCCGAACTCCACCAACCCCACAAAAAACAAACGAATTGTAGTATGTAATTCTGAGTGGCTCACAAAGTACAATCACACATCATACTGCTATGACACAACGAGGTGATTCTCCTCTCCCTATCTTACCCACCTATAAGTCAGTATTACTCTCAATATGTCTTACTACATAAATCACACCAACTTCAAACGACTGAAGAACCAACTTCTCACCTCAGGTACCAATAACACGTTATGAAGCTGAAATCATGAAGTTTCTATGGATCCACAATCATCATATTGGAAGGTACTTTGGCCTGGAAGGATTATCACCACATTACCTTGAGACTAAATCACAAAGACGTGTTCATGACAATGAATGTCAAGTTGTAAACATTTTATCACGTGTAAGCACAATTCGTCTTGAAATTCGAATCATTATGTGTGTATTCATTTATCTAGAAGCTGACTAGAGATGATCACACCACTCAGCATAAGGTTAGGTTTAACGATAGAACGGAAAAGATTCTATGCTAGCCACTCACTATAATGATGCGATGATGGACTACAGAAAGTGAAACACCTACGTGGTTCGAAATAACCTGATGTATTCATTATTCATAATTCGTACAAGTATGGTCATTATTCCACACGGTAGTACAGAGTTCAAAGTTCACGTTTTTGTATTATTAACAGTCAAGAATGATTGGATATATTTACTTCATCTCAAAGTGTAAATGGTTTCAGGGGAACAGGACAGATTCTACTGTTGTGGGAAAACAATACATAACAACATAATCTGATTGTTGTTTATTCAGGTACGTATTAGCGAAAAAATGTCATATAAGTGGTAGTAATAATGACATAAATAGTGACACCATAGTGTGACTAGTGGGTCATACACTTGTCTTTCGGTAGCTAGTCATTAGCGCAGACGATTGCTTATTTTAGGAAATGCCGAAAGTACCCTCTCTGTTACCGCTGAGGTTTCATCAACACAATTGGTGAAACGCATCGAGATATTGAAGGGACTTTCGTGTCCAACAACTTTGCCTCCTGTTTTAAATTAGGAGACGGTGCAGGCCAGTTATTAAGGATAGTACTGCATATTAAGTTCTCCTCAGTAGGTATAAATACAGGACAGATTCTACTGTTACGGGAAAACAATACATAACAACATAATCTGATTGTTGTTTATTCAGGTACGTATTAGCGAAAAAATGTCATACAAGTGATAGTAATAATGACATAAATAGTGACACCATAGTGTGACTAGTAAAATAATTGTTTTTAGAAATTAAATATAGTTCAACTCTGTAGTCTACTCGGTGGCAGGCAATGGAATCCAGGGTGCGCGCTTCGTGCTATATGAAACTTGTCAGCTGGATATACCTGAGAGGCGGATCTGGTGTCCCAGTGGATACATCTGACATTTGAAGCGATAAGTAGCAGGTTCGAGTTTTAGTGGGCACAGTATCACTCACTAGGGAGTAGGTACATCCAGGTGAGTTCGAAATAGGTAGGAACGGTCGTCCTGGATTACACTGCTAGTTAGCAATAAGACTGAGAAATACTGAATATCTTAGCAGTATTTATGCATCTGCATAGGGGGATATCTGTCAACAGAGGCTGAGCGTTTCGACCAATCAAAGCAACAGGAAATTACAAGTATCAACAAACAATTGTTCAGTTCTGTCCTAACTACCGGGATCAGATTCATGCAGGGAGCAAGTAGAATGGAAATTGAATTGAAGTGAATGCAATCTTGGCTAAATAAACGCGAATTGCAACAGGTTTAGACACGAACTGATGATAACATAAACTGAATCCTACTACGGTGCTACGAAAAACATCTTGATTCACACGCATCTGTTTAAAATATAGCAACCTACGAAAAACTGTCCTAAGAACCATTGATGATTCATCTAATCTAATGTATCATTATTCGTGTACATAAACTTTTAGGTGTATGCATGATAAAATTTATCCTGACTACGAACAAAATTTATGTCCAAAAAAAGAATATTTCGAAAATGTATTCATCAAGTTCACCTACTAAACAATGTGCGACAAACACGACGATAAATAATAAAATTGCGATAAAAGCTTCAGCAAGTAAGCTGGATTTAAGCATTATCCAGAAATCACTTTCTGGCATTTACCGATTAGCAAATAAATGCTGATACATGTAAGTCACTTAAATGAATAAACGATCGGGAAAAGTAGCAACAGGAAATGTTCAGAAGTGGAAGGGAAACAGTAGCTACAATCAGATTGGCATTTTGATGATGACAAGTGAGTACACGATCAAAGGCATGCGATAAATTATCTATTTTAATGTATTCATAAAAGCAGTACTAAAACCAGACTTTCGAAAGGAAAACAAAATAACAAAATAGTAGGGAAAGTCACGAATGTCTATGCCGGGAAGTAGGGCCCAGAGAGAAATAAGGCTGTGAATACATTAAATTTATGAAATGACGAGATAAACAGTTAAATGTACCTATGAATAAAAGTTTCACAGGATAATCTAGAGAAAAGAAATCAGATACAGTTCAAAAATCAATGGTCGCTTAGGAATTGAAAAATAAAAGGTTGTTTATACCAATATGAAGCTGTTAAATGAAAATAGCGTTAACTATAAATCAGATTTGTGTGAAATATGATGATGACCTGATTTAAGTGTTTGAGTACATTTACAGATTAAAATAAAATCGAAAAATCTGAGAAGCATGCGTGCGTGGCCTAACAAACAAAATCAGGTCAACAAATAGAATGATGAAAAATAATTATATTATGAAGTTGCTATGTTATTTTGAGATTACATTGGTAAACAATGGTTGGGCGAAATGAAGCAAAAAACAACAACAGTAGAACGATTAAAAAGAGGAGCAAAGCCTATCTTAAACATTAGTTGTCAACACTGTTTTTCTGAAAAAAAGGCAGATGTCCATAACAAACGATTCTGGCCAATTTTTAGTTTAGCAAACAACACATCGAGGGAAAAAAAAATAGAAGCTTATCATCCACATCAAGGTCTAGGTACTGCGTTGAAGAACATATTCATTGAGTGATAACGCTGAGTGATAACACCTGGACACCCAAGATACAGAAAAACCTGAACAAGTGAGTCAATAGCTGAAACACTGAGTAACAGCCAGATAGGCAGCGTGACACAACTGCCAGTCAATCCTAGCAATGTGTTTTCCTTTTCTGATAAACAAAATGAAAAGCTTCAAGAACTAGTATTCTTCTTCCGTGCAAGAAATAAGCACATAAGTACCGAGTAAAAGTAGTAGGACAGCAGACACAGTACACGTGAAGTGATAACCATGTCAAGATAACCATCCTTTTTACCTGTGGATAAGGTCAAAGGTCTGAACAAATGTCCACAAATAAAAATTATGTCCAACTAATCTACCCTCCTTATGCATGTAATTCAAGGATAAGAAATAGTTCGCGACGGTTCACGATACTACCCAAAACACGGTTGATGGAGTGAGATTCTGACGCGGTACACATTGGTGGAACGTCGACTATTTTAACCAAATACAACAGCTTCACATATAACAGACCAGCGTGGATAGAACTGCTTAGGTTGACGAAAAAACTGTTTGGCGATCGAAATATTGACCAATTTGTTACCACACTACTATGACAATAAGCGTGTCAAAAAGACCCTAAAACACAAACCTTCCACTTCCCGATACGATAGAAGATATATTTCTTGACCTTGAGGCGGCCACTTGAAGCTTTACGTAGTATTGTTGGGTTCTATTTTGATTATGACTGATTGATATATGAAAGCAGAATGGCAGTAAAGAATAGGAAAATCATAACACATTACACAACTAAAAACCAAATATTATCCCTTTATGAAAGCTTTTGATTATTAGGTTTAGCACGTAACTTTTAACTGGAAAAGTATGTAAAGTCGTTTTGAATGAAGTGAATTTTGAATTTCTCGACACATGATACAAATGTTGAATGATTGAGTTTTTAAATATACGTCACGGAAACTTGTATGAACTGTAGATATATAGATAGTATAGTTTTCAAAAGTCAGTCTGTGGTCCAAATCCTTAAGCGGTACAGAGTTTTTTTCATTCAATCATCATTTTTCTAGATAAAAATCATTTTTTTCAAAACCAAGGCTATTTTGGACTGTCTACCACAGCTAAATGATAGGTAGAAACAAGTGATGATTGTCATTGTGATGTTTACCGTGTTAAGAATATGATGGTTATATGTTGTGCGCTTTACACCCCACTGCGTCAAAAGTATGTTTATTGATTTCAACACCCAAATACAGACAAAAAGCGTAACAAAAATATGAACAACGGGATCCTACTGTGAAACGAAAATCCCTGTACTAACTGAGGTCACCGGTCAGTAAAGTAACGCCAATGTCAATGCTTGTTCGACTTAAGAATTAGCCCATCCCCATTTTCCAGTGCGAATAACATTTACATAATAAATAGAGTGAATATCGATATATTCTTTTTGAATAGAATCCCATGATAAAAGCATAACAAGAGGTAGGGTGAAAGTAAGCTGATTGACTGAACAGTAGGAAAAGGAACAATATCAATACGACACAAGTGTTTAGAATTTAATCAGCGAATACATAAAAAAGGTTAGAGTATACCATGACAACAAATGGGAATAATTAACCTTACAAATATGGCTTGGCTTTACAGACAAATATGCACACTTACTTGAAGACGTTGGGTTAGTTGAATCAACTTAGCCTGTAAACTTTCAGATTCTTGTTGAGCTTGAGAACTCTCTGACCGGTAGGTTCGTTCAGCGGCAAGCAACTGTTGAACTTGACTACGTAAGTTAACTTCTGAACTACGTAAAGATTGAATTTCTGATTTCAGAAGTTTAGCCTCGGCTTCTAGCCTTTAATTCAATCCAAAATAAAGCAAACGGTGAATACGTCATACAAACCTGCTGAATAAATATTACAAATAAAAGTAACAGCAACTTAGTAATGACTGAGATGTGCATAAACTAGGTAGTGAACTATATGTGCTGTATGAAGGCGAATGGTATGATGGTGTGATTGATCAAACTGAGACAATCAATGTAGAATGGAACCCATATCTTTATGCACACCTTATGCACTTAAATAACTACTAGCAGAAGCACTTCCTCTGGTTATGTATATATATATATATATATATATATATATATATTAGTCCCTTGGGTTCCTAGTGGAACATAGGGCTTCAGTAGCACGCCTCCAGTGAATTCTGTTCTCTGAGATCTTTTGAACCTGGTTCCACGACAGCCCACAACCTCTCATTTCCTCCTCGCACGACCTCCTCCATGTCACCCTCGGACGTCCAACTCGTCGCTTCCCATGGGGATTCCACTCGAGGGCCTCACGCGTGATGTCCCCAGTCGGCCTTCTCAGTGCATGGCCAATCCATCTCCACTTCTTCCTGCATATTTGTTGCGTGATAGGTTCTTGGTTGGTTCGTTCCCAGAGTTCCTTGTTGCTTATTTTTTCTGGCCATCTGATCTTCAGCAGCGAGCGTAGCAGTTGTTGATGAATGTCTGTAGTTTATTGGAAATGCCTTTCGTGACGCGCCAAGTCTCTGAGCCATACAAGAGCACTGACTTGACTGAATTGGTGTTGAAAATCCGTATCTTGTTCCACATGCTGAGTGCAGAAGATCTCCACACTGGTTTCAGGCTAATGAACGCCTGTCTTGCTTTTCCGATTCTGACTTTGACGTCCTCGTCCGTCCCGCCTGTAGTTGAAACAGTGCTTCCTAGATAAGTGAAGGAGGTTACTTCCTTCAAGTTTCTCCCGTTGACGGTGATTGGAGTTTGTTGTTGTTGTTGATGGTGGTGGTGCGGTATCTTCATCACTTCTGTCTTCTCTATATTCACCTGAAGTCCCGTCTTAGCTGCCTCTTCTATCAACTTGTTAGTTTTTGCCTGCAGATCTTCAAGTTTATGTGACATTAGGCATAAGTCATCGGCGAAATCCAAGTCTTCTAGGTTCTTTTCCGTCGTCCAGTGTATCCCCCTCTTCTCGCTGCCTACTGTTTGCTGCATGATCCAGTCCACCACAGAAGCACTTCCTCTGGTTATGTGTAGATAAAAACAGATAACTTAGTTACTGCTCCAATAAAATGTGTGAATAGCAGGACTGGATCAAGTACAATAGGGAAACCAGTGTATATTGATATTTGGATTTGATCAATAGAAAGCCTTGGATCTAGACCTTGTCTTGGTTGATACGCGCTACTGAAATGCAGTGCATCAATGTCATGCCACTTAGCTTAGAAGTCGCGTTACAAACCGGAACAATATACTTCAGCTGGATTTGAGCACTTGTAAAATGATGGCTGCATCGTTTACCATCAGATGAACAATTTGTTTCAGATTTAGGTGCAATCAATGCGGTACGTAAGAACACTTAATAAGGAATGTACATCAGAAAAACTAAACTTCAGGTAGTTGATATGCAACTATAACTTCCGAGTCACCATAGATGGATGAATCCCACAGTAAGGGTTGATTTTTGACATATTTCATTCTTGTGTCACTCTAGGTGTAATGTAGTTAAAAAATTTGTAGCAACGTTAACCTAGCCGGTGCTAATGTAATTTCAACATGAGCACTGGTAAGTTGCTCTGTTTTCAAACAATGTAAATGAAACTCAGGCAGTTACATAGCATCATTAGCTTAAACAGAGAAAATGTGCAGTTATATGAACTAACACGAACCTGCATACGATTGGTCATTTGCATTTTTTATTCACTGACTTCTTACGAGTAGTTTGTATGTTGAACCTGGGACTTTAACCAAAATAGGTTATTTGTTAAGACTAAGAGCGTCTACTGACCACTACAGTTTCAGCACCGTTACGGACCCCGTAACCGTAACATGTGACAGTGACCAGATTAAAGGTAATAAGGAGGGAAACCAAAAAAGTTACAGAAGAGCTACTCAGGGGTTCATGGGTTCAGGCTGCGTAGATGAGTATACATCTACCAAATAAGATAAATGAAATCAACGTGAAATCTCGCACAGAAGTGAATCGGCTCCAGTTGCCACACTTCACAACTGCATGCAAACAACAAGTGGGCAGGAAAAGATCACAGCAGATCACAGTAGACAAAGATGTACGACAGGATATACAATTTGAAAATGAAGGTTAGTGAAAATGTACAAACCTTAGTAGACGCTAAAGAATGAATACATTTGCACCATTGTGATCAATTTTCAGACATGTCACTAAGAGTCTGTAAAAATTGATTCATACGGTCCCTAGGACCCAAATCAAGTAGTCTACACTTCCATACATGGCGAAGACCAACAGTTAGACTCCACTGACTGTTTTAAGTCTTGGTCTGGTCATCCTGAACTTCCTTCCAACTCAATCCTATTTCGGCTAAGATTGCACGTCAAGTTAGGTGACTTGGTATGCGCAACATATGTCCAAGTCACATCGGTTAGTGAGGCTAACAACCTCATCATCTGACCTCAGTACTATCCTTTGCTTGACCCTTCAATTTCTCAAACAGTGATTCAATTATCCGTGAGTAGTGCTTCAAAGACACACACAATCAGAAACTTGGAGTTTCTTCATACGTTCTACTATTAACGGGTGTTTCAGAGTTGCATAACAGGACAGAATGAACTCCACCACAGTATACTTGTTCTTTGATAGATAGTCGGATATTGGGTATCACACTAGTAGCAGAGGTGACGAAACTTGCATATGCCAAACGAATCTTCTGTATAGAAGCTGAAATTTCATCAGCAACCACCCTGCCGGACTGCTGTATCTCTCCAAGTAAGTGGAGTGGAGTGGTCGGCGGACTGCACCACATCGCTCCGTATCTCGAAACTGTGAGTGCCTGCAGGCGAATCCTTAGGCACCATCTTACATTTGACAAGTTCATAACACATACCAAACACATACTGGCACTTCTATTTAGGGTTTCTGGAAAACTACATTTTGTGGTCGTTTTCGTTTAACAGGATGATGTGGTGTGCTTACACCAGGTTCAGCAGTTGCACTGCTGGGAGTAGGCCAAGGCCTATTACGACGAAGGCATCTAATTTTACGTCCACTACTATACTGTAAGGAACATAAACACGCAAGACGACGGGAAACATCCACGGTATATACAAATAGGTGTTGTTAATTCAGGTGAAAACTCTTCATAAGCCCTTACACACGGTTGCATGAGTCCGAACAGAGAGCTTTGATTCGGAATCGCCTGCTTACACGGTACTTCCTTGACAGTTAGACACGGCTACAACACCTCACAGTCGACGTAGTCAAATATCGCCTTCAGGTGAGGAAATATGGCAAGTGTTAGCCGGTGTTAAAGGATGAAGATATGGTGGATATATCCTCTTTGAGGTCTGAAACCTGCCTGGTTTTCTGGGGTTTGGTGTTCTCCAGTTGCAGTTGGATATCGGATTACTATGGATTCGAGGGTCTTGGACACTATGCACTGGTTAAACTGACTCCGATTTGTTTGTGACAAGAAGACTTTTCTTCTTTCAAATTGTTTATTCTCACACACAACTGCCTACCTTCATACCACTCTTTTTCTATCCTAACTACTGTGAAGTATGGCAACTTGAACCGATGCACTTGTGTGCGAGGTTCTACGTTGATTTTTGCTGCTTTCTTACAGACTGAAATGATTAGTGAAGGAGGTCAGTGTGACTAAGTATTGTCAACGTCAATTCTGAATTTCATTGTAAGAGCTGAGTATGCTATTATTCTAACACATGACCCATCAACTTTTCTGTAGTGACTTTAATTTTCTTTTGCTGTATAGTTTAAGATATTGCCTTCTAAACAAGTGCATCATTGTACAAAACGTCTCTATCAGGAAATGAAAGTATGAACTAGTATAAAAATAAGAATTTTTACCACAATTCATGAGTGATCAAGTCGTATCGTATAACTGATTATGACCATTACCAATCATAACAACACAGTCGATATTAGATAATGAGTTGCATTTTTGTATTTTCCTAGACAGGAGAAGTGAAGGCATGATAACAAAGTAAAACCTTATTTCTGGATAAATACAATGAGAATAAACTGTTGATGAAGACAAACACCGACCTATTTTCTTTGTATCAAATGCAATATAATACTAATCTGCAAATTCATAATATATAGGTTGAAAGAGACAACTAAACAAAAAGGTATTTTCGTAGTTTGTAGTGTAAAAACCTACATACAAAATTGCAGGTTTACACTTTTAAGGATTGAGAATGAATGTGAAATCAGTGAATAATTCCCTGGGCAAAAAAGCTGTCATCAATGGGGGAGATATTACTAACCGTGACCGGGATCCTGCGCTAAGCAAAGAGTTAAGTGAAGTTCAATAATGAACGTGACTGTACGAGCCTCGACAGGTAAAAGGTATTTAAACCTGTCACTCATTGGTTGAAGGCCTAGTATCCTTCTCAATAAAGCACAGCTTTGCAAATGCAATAAAACAGAATCGATTAGAGATACCTTAGTTGTATGACATCTTCGAAACAGATGAGAAAAGGCCAACGGTTTACCTTTAGGATAAATAATAAATTTTGCATCGGATAACATTTCGAATATTCCCATATTTCGTCTGGATATGCAGTAGACACGTATATACCCTCAGTTCCAGTATAAAACACGGTTACCCCGTTAAATGCTTAGCATCTTGAAGCTATGAAATTATGTAACGAAGGCAAATTGCATAAGTACAGTTTGTGTACTCTTACAACAGTAGTTTCATGAAGAGAGAGTCACGTGCTGTTCATAGGCAAATCGAAACAAAGAGTAAAAATGAAATCAATTCACGAAGGAAACTTGTCACTACTGAATACTCTTTAAATTGTAATCAGAGGATGGAGTTTCAGCGAAAACTGATTACCGCCTGGTGATTGATGCTAAATTGCAAGCAATATCTTTAATTAACTGTACTATAAATAGAGGAGCGAAAATCGATCGATGGTGCTTCATACTGTGCATATTATACTGCAGGATACCATGTAAAGCATAAAGGACTATTCAATAGAAAGGAATAAGACCTTACTTTAAGGTATATTCATCTTTGTTGGGATTTTTACCACCTGATTTACAACCAGTTGACAAGGAATTTGAACTCGATGGATTGGATTTGCCGCTACCAGCAGCAGCAGAAGAGTTAGTAACGGAAGTTATCTTAGTTGATGTGGTACTTGTTGATGCAGTTGATTGATTCGTATCACTGGACTTGGTATTTGATGATGCGCATGTCGATTTCGTTTTATTATTAATCGGATTATTTACACTTAGAGAGGTACAAGATTTAGGCAGGGATGCATTCGAACAAGTTGAAGCTGATGAACTGGATGCAACAGAAACAAGAGATGATGGTGACTTTTTACCAAGTGATTTTTCACCTTTGATATCGGTCCCTTTTGGCTACAAGTCTCGGCATGCCTATCGTCACCCGAGACAGAATCTAGGACAGAAGGATTTGAAACCGATGAAGTCCTTGCAGTCACAGTCTCAGCTGATGATACACTTGTATACGGATCAGCCTAAACAGAAAAAGTATTTTTATCAGTAGAATTAATTCAATAAATAAACCAGAGAAGTACAGGAATAAGAATACTTTATCATAAATCAAACAGAAGTGGAAAAACACCCTGGAAAATGTGATATTTTGTAGTTATAGTTGCAATAATTGTTTTTCAGTGTGCTTTTTGATACTAGAGAAATTTACCTATAAGTGCAGATCACACAACTAGTAAAACATGATGCGTTTAATCATAAGTGTGTGACATTTTAAACTGCTTACGAAAGCAGTTGCTGTTGAGTTCAGAACACCACCAAAAATTAACACGAGCACATGACAGATAATTGCAATCATGAGTACAATCATGGCTTGCATTTAATTAAGAAGAATGAGAAATGACAGTGGACAACTTACTATGTAATATCAACAGCACATCATAGCCACCAATTTTGAATACTGTGATCATTGTTTATTTACATTAAATTTGGTTCTGAATATTTTCTGTTTTTTGACACCATTGATGAATAAAATTAATGGTGTTAGGGAAATGAGCATTTATGATATGGGGAAAAACGAGACTTGATACAACTATCCATCATCATACTTTGTCAAATCAAAAAGCAGGAGTCAATCAGAGACAAACCAAAACCATGGATAAGATGGTACTTGTAGAAATTAATGAGAAACCGAACTGGTAAGAAACAGAAGTAAAAGACAAGAGAAACTGCATAGGACTGTGAAACCAGTGTTCACAATATATGGATTCTTAATATTTATGGGGAAGATTAGGCACAGACATATCTGTGCTACTGCCATCGATTACGACTCGTATCACACGATCTCAGAAGATCAATTTTGTGTGTCAAATGGAGGCCAGTCAGAAAAAAATTATATAAACGACTCAGAGCTTACCATAATATTGTGTAGATTGGTATCAGATTGCGATCTTACAACTTTATTGTCTATTCCATTCTACCTCCTCCCCAGGTGCAACAGTGCTTTGGGAAGGTAACGATAAGATAGTGTTAACAAGTATGAGACTAACTCAAGGGGTACAGATTAACGGCTCATCTCTTGTACCAAACACTCCACAGTTATTGAAGCACTCCTAACAAAGGTGATAATAATTAACGATAGTAACACGCGGCAAACCCAACATGCACGAGTTATGCTTGCTTCGTGATTGAATTTAACTTTGCGATGTACATTTTCACTTTCTATGATCGTAACTCGCGGTGAGAATAAACCCCAGAAAGTCTTTGGATAGAATGATGCCGTTTTCACGATGTCGAGGCAGGCGAATAATTTTTCGCTGATATCATTCCATGATGTAATTCCCTTCTGAAATCAATCTATCCTTCGAAAGCCAGTAAGTAAACAATAATCAGATGCTCGCCAATGACTCACTTCGATATGGACTTCCTGAAGAGGCTGTGATCCGTGAGGTTGACCAAGTTGAGTGCCACGACAAACACTCGCTGATGACCTTGTCCGATGATCGCGCTATATCACGAACTGACTAAAGTTGGAATACATGAGCTATTGAAGGCCGTCGCGGTGGTTGAGTGATAACGTGCTAGTCGTGAACTGACGGTCCTGCGTTCTACTCGTTATTACGAGGTCACGGATACGCACTGCTGGAGATTCGTAAAGTAGGACGAAAAAATTCTCTGGTGCTCACAGATTTTCTGACTGATGTCGATCTGTGATGAAAACCTCTTTGGAGTTTTCAATACTGCTATTTAAAATTTTCTATTATATTAACGTGTAGATTTCAAATACTGATGAATTGTAAGCTATTTACGTATCATGCTTGATCGCTGTAAAAACCTCATTGTCTCCATTCTAGTGAAGGTTGGATTATTCTTTCACCTACCAGTAAGCCACATACTTTCATCTTTCACTGAATTTAATCTAATTTATACTAGCTTTAATAACCATGGACAGAACTCTATCATCAAAAAACATGGTGAAGTTAAAATCGCCTGATTATCCCTCCTTTTTTTTGAAAAATATTAGTGAGTGTATTTTATTTGTACCAAAAGTAAAAGTTGCTAGAGACGCTGGATTTAGGTTAACTTGACCCAAAAAAGATGCTGTAAACTTTTAATGAGCGAAATGATCAATGTGAATACCCGCTCTTTGATAATTAGTGTGGTGCCAATCAGTCATCCGACAACATTTAACAGCTTAGCAAGGTAGGGCAAACAAGACTGTACGCCATCCGAATAGTAGTTTCAATCAAATACGGAATATCCATGTAAGACATGTATTAAATATAGCTTTCATGCAAGGAATATTGTTACTACGTGGCACCAATACTATTTTTCACAATTTCTGGACCCTCATTGATTTCCAGTCTGTTATAAATGAGTTATTAGGCGTCGTAATATTTTAGATTAAATCACTGAAATTCAGTTGTTTGTTCTGTCACAGTTCAAGGCTTTAAGCTACGTCAACAGACGATTTTATAACTAGCTCTAGGTATACCTCTCATGCTGTGATGGCTATCATGTTTGTTCGTCTTCGAGCATACTTTCGAAACTTCATTGAACAGCGAATGAAAAGTATGCTGATGTGAGTTAAAATGCGACAAATTGTAGTCTAATAAAATCTCTTAGTGGATAAACTACCTCCCCCCTAAGCATAACTGCCATTTTCACAAAAATATTGGTGTCAGTTACTAGCAACAAGTGAAAAAAAGAGTAAACGAATAAATTGTAAAATTATCTATCAACAGGTTAGCACCGTCAGTAATTTATCGTGAGTCATAATAGTGCTTTTTAATGTCACATTTTGTTTACTGTGGATTCAAGATGATCCAGAAGTGTACACAGAGGTGAAATATTTCTAACCCTGTTGTTTTAAAAAGGAAAAGAAAACAGCATATGATATAATTTAAACATAAAAGACTTCGACAATATTTACTGTGGAAAGTACGCTGGTATAATCTTACCACACAAACGTTTTCATAAAATGTGATAAAAATACCTGTTCTGACGGTGATATTGCCGCAGAAGTATGATTGCTACCTTGTTCATCATCTCTAAACTCAAAGGTATCCTCTTGTGAAACATTTTTATCAACTGAGCACAAAGACATATCAGCACAGTTATTTCCATGTGCAGTAGTACCACGTGTTGTAATGGTGTTACGGGAATGATTCACAGATACACCTTTACGGCTCATATTCGTATTAGAATGATTTTCTTTATCTTTGGAATGAATCATGCTAGCAATATTATTATTTGCTTCAGCTACAACATGTCCTGATGGTGTTAAATTTGGCACTGTGGATGTGGAAGAGGAGATGGCTAGTACTGGACAATTATTGTCATCACAAAGCATGTTTGAATGTTTCGATTTTGCAGTGGTATCTGGAGTGAGAAGTGGACAGCAGAAAAATTAGATAATTCAGTATGACAAGATTAGTTATTTTTTTCGTAAAATACTACCAAAAATAGTCGTTAAGCATAAATTAAATTCTAAACTAAATATTATTCTTCAGTTGAATTAACCTAGAAATCACTTGCAAATTTACCAGAAATCTTAAGTTCATTAAACTGAATCTCACTTACAACGTACACTAGACACCGATTTGATGATGGCTGCTTGAAGTCTGTGTGGATATTCATAGTACTTAGCATAAGCTGGATGCTCCCAAAGTAAAGTGATACAAGACATTGGGCGAAAAATCATAATACCTCATACTTCAATTACAGAAAAACCATCGTAAAATTAGCATTTCCTGAGTGTATAATATACTTATAAATTTAATAATAGGTGGTAATCCCTTCCCAGTAGTCCATGCTCTTAAACTTAACGGAAACATTTAGTTCATTCAAAAGAGATTCCCCTTATGTTCGTGCAGAATGGAATACAATGAAGACAGTCAACCTCTAATACTTAAAAAGTTTTGCTCCAGCAATCAAAAGTTCCCTTACTACTTATGGATAGAAGTGTCTACAGGGTAAAAATTATCTTGATAGCATACAGACTCTCAATACAATGTCACACAATAACATGACCATATCGTCGGAAGTACAGGATGATAAGGTACGAATTAAAGCAATATGCAAAGAAAATATTATATTTAATACTACCACATGATTTGGTGTTATTTTAAGCTGCTTGTTCCCTAATAAAACATGCACATCTATGTCTTAAGTGACTGCTTATGGAATAAAGTTTTCGAATTGACCCATTCAAAAAATATACTATAAGCATAATACCTTTTACATGATTGCTGGCAATATGCTCGTATCATTAACGTAATCTGTTGGTTTAATTCTCCCTAAAGAAAAATAATCTCTTATTTGACCTACTCATAAATCACTTACATGCTTCCATCGAATAACAGTAAATAAAAGAGATAAATACGAGAATCAGACTCGATTATAAAACTTTCAAATACAATTAACCAAACAAGTGTTCTCGAGAAGCGATGGACTGATATCTTCCTTCTTTGGTTTAACAGAGTATGTTTTCTCACTGTTTTATGGGTACCCGGTTAAGTGTTGAAAACGACTTGTGTCTGTCAGGGATGTGAATGCCTTTTTTACTTTGCTCTTTGTCATAACTATGCCTATGGAGATCTCTCATTCTCATTTGACTACCCAGGAATTAAAATGGTCAAAGGAGATTCCTCAGTTGACCTAGGGTTGACAAATGACACAGTTCTGCCAAGTAGGGATGCTGACAAGATGTAGAGTCCACAGAACACTTTGAGTGACAATTTTAGAATGCTTGTGGGGGCGTTTCTCTCTACTGAAAAGTAGATTGTTACTGCGCGATTACTTTACGTTGTTGTCCTGTCTAACAATGGGGAGTAAAGTGGTTGAGTGTATTGACCACTCCACTCACCTGGGAAGTTGGAGCAGACCAACTCGGAAGGGTAAGTGGCCAACGAAGTAGCTGCACGGATACAAAGCACCTGATCAGCTTTTGACAAAATACAGCAATAATGGTGCCACCATGATATATGATTATCTATTAAGAGTTGAGTGTGCTGCACTGTAGTTCGCCTTGTTCCAGTATATGACTGTGAAAGTTAGAGGGCATGAGGTTTCAAATGTTCGACCACCGTTGCCTTCAATGCACTGACCACGTGTCATGCAAGTACCAAGTAGTTAACTTGGGAGTCATGTGTTTTCTTAGGCAAAAAAGTAAGTTAACTGACGAGGTTGCATAGCTTTATCCATTCGAGTCACGCATATGCAGTCGAACACATAATCGTTGTGTCGCAATTTGTTACTTTTGTGACTTTTTACAACTTTCAATTGTTTCTTCTATATCACTCTGTCTTTCATCTTGCTGTGATGATTTGAGATATAGTAACTAGAAGGTTATGCATTGATGTCAGATTTCATATCGATATTGACTGATTCCCACCTATTGAAAACATAGCAAACCTGGTAGGTAGAGGGGCATTCCAAATCCTGACCCAATATTTGAAAGTTAGGGGTTAAAACAACTGAGTCACAGATTTATTACCAATTAAACTTAAACTTTTTTAATACTAACATACAAATTACAAAAACTAGGCTATGCAACAGTCTAATTATAATACTAATTTAAAATCTTAAAAGTTAACTCAGCTTAGTTCCCACTACACCTTGAATACCACACAGTTGTGTCAACTGGCACTAACTGAATTCTCAGAAGTATGATATAAGCAAGCAACAAGATAATAGTAAGATCAATAACAAAGGTGGGGGAAAACTTCTGAAAATGCAGCAGTATTCCGTTCAATAGCGTTATTTTGTTACAGGTACAAGAATACAGTGTTATAAAAAAGTTCTAATACAATACAATATATTACAAAAACTAAAATAACTCTCCTCATGAAATAGAATGGCACCATCGTCGAAAATAAAAAGTCAGTATACGATACGATAGTGCCTCTAAGAATAACACACAAGAAGCCATTCAATACAGCTTTTTTTTTAATTCGCCATAAATACAATTTTATTGCTTTAGTCTTTTGGTGAGATAAATAATAGTGTGAACGTTTACTCTTTTCGTGTTCAGTACCGACGACTTACTCGATTTCTTCACCCACATACAAAATACATCGAAACAAAACAGCTATTCTTCATATTACGGAATCATTTTAAAACTGATCATAATGAAGCTTTTAGTAAGTCTTACTATCAGTAAAGCATGCTAAATATTGAATTCGCTACTCCAGTAAGTTAAATATAAACTGAAGTCAAGCGAACTAGCTGTGTACGACAGTAGCATCTTATGAAGAGGTTTCTATTACACACCACAAGACTCGTGACGACAGCATTTCAGTTAGAACAAGCAATTGTACAGATAACTATGATTACACGAATATGGTCACCGAAAGACCTTAAGTTACACTATACTCGCATAAACGATAATTCACTGTGTTAAAGGATTGTAAACAAAATCTTGTACAGCAAGAAAGTCAAAACAATGCGAAAACTGACCTAGTTTGACGAATAATTTTCTATTTCTCTTTCTTCTTCCAGTCTTGTAACTTCAAGTGCTTCAAGTACGGCAATTTGAACCGTTACACGGTAATGTCAAGTCCCAAGGTGACTAACTGACCACGCACACAGAGCTCTGGTTTTCACCATTATCCGTTACAAGATAATCATCACCCAGAAACACCTACGCATATCGATGAAGTTTTTAGTGTTCCCAGTTACTTGGCTCACAATGTGTACAGATAGTAACTTGTATATAGGCCAAATCAGTGACTAAACAATGCCAAGGATGCATATGAGGCCATGGGTTACGGTAGTCGACCGAATACAGAGGTGAAGTTACGGACCTCTGTACACTGAGGCGGTTAGAAAACTTACTATTAATCAGTTTTTACTGTGTGAAGTGAAAGATGCTAAGAGAAAACACGAATCCATGGTATATGGCTCATTGACTTTCAACAAATGGAAACTGCAATGAGTTCTATTGCACTTATTTTGGCCTGGGCAACCAGGGAATATAAATCATGAGTCTTTAAACAAGTGTATTATAATTCAGTAATAAATATATGTCAGGTTACGTTGCATATTATACTCGTGATCATATTCCGGATTTCGAGCATTCTTTCACTTATATACCTTTATCATGTTTCTTTTCCCTTTTATTCCAGTTTTTGTTCTTATTACGGTACTACTGTTTCAGATGAAGTATGTATACATCGAAATTTATGTGCACTAATGAATATTTAGAAATATGTGAGTTAATGCAAAACCAGAACAACTCAAATGCCAAGGGTGTGGGGGGGGGAGGAGAACTTGCATAGTACATCATCATTTAGCAGGGAGAGGATACTGATTATGTGCTTATACGCCTCACTTATAACCACCAGTGGGTCATCGCTAAGACCACCAACCCAGGTTTGGGCGACCACGGAGTATCACTAGTCTTTGCACAGTAAGTGTAGCTTATAGTACATGAATCTGTAACCGGTCTCCTAGGTCTGCGCCAAAGTTATCCCTAAATGGACATCAACTCACTGTGACAATAACTTGTAATAGAAGTGAGTTGATGACTTATAAAGTCTAAAAATATTTTATCCTCGATACACTACAAAACTATAGGAACCTCACAACCAACTAGTAAACAGCTAAGTGGTATCGATAATATGTGCTGTAACAATACTTTATAAAACAAAAATTATCTACTTCTTTTGTGCCAAATAAAGATAAGCTAGTTGTACCGACTGATTGTTTTGTTAAACGGGCAAAACAAAATGAAAGTAGAAAAGACTTACCAGACTTTAGATAGCACCAAAGTTCTTTGGTAAAGCCTCTTCAAGAATTGAAAAAAAGGTATTGTTTTGTGCAGCAACAAGCTTTTGTCTTCTCTGTGTAAAGTAAATTTATATTTAAAAAAAGAAGGCATAGAAAAGTTCATCAACTTAACAAAAATAAATCATAAGTGCAAACAGCTCTCACATATTTCCTAATATGACAGGAAAAACTTAAGAATTTCTCATCAGATCAATTTGTAAAGTCAGAAAATAATTTACTTAAACGATTGTGGTATCAGTATGGTTTACTATCTTCAGTGGAAGATAATACGATTATGTTAAGTTCACAGGGCATTGCGAGAAAAACAACTCTTATTTTGAATAACACTAATCAGTCTCTTAAAACAATGAATCCTACAGTTACAGGAAACTTTGATGAAACGTCTTGTCACCATTGAAACGTAAATGGCGAAAGTGAGTATATCCATATGTTACGGATAAAACAAAAAAGCTGTCGTAACATTTTCAGTCATATCCAGTGCAATGCAAAGACAATGTAGAACCTTACATACAAATGCATCGGTTCAAGTTGCAACACTTCACAGTATCATACAAAAACAAATGGATAGAAAAATGATGTGGTTGTCAGGCTTGAATAATACAATGACTCAACTAGCTGGAACGCTTGTTCCCTCGAAATCCTACCACGCTGGAAGTGTCTACTGGATAGTAGTAAGATGAAAACTAGTTAGTGTTGTAGCGTAAATTGCTACACTATGATGCAGGTAGAAGTCGTACTGCTGCTAACTGGATGGTATTTGACAGCAGTTTCCTTTGGATGACCAGGGGTGCCACGCTGATGCTTCCTTCCTTATGGGAAGGAGGGGTTAGAAAATGTCGGCCCCAAAAAAGCACAATCCTTACTGCCCCAAAGTCTTCCAGTGCAGGCGGTATGGATTTTCCCTATCCGACGTTAGAACAACCAAATCACGAAACAACGACCCGCAAAAGGCTATGTAACAGGTCTCAACAAGATGTCCGACGGGCTCTGCGGTCACACAAATCTTCTCTCTCAGTTACCTTAAGAAGATATGGCCTTCCAAGGTGTGGGCAGCCGAGAAGTGTCAACCGCCCGCACATATCTAGTAGTACACAAGACCCAACCTCAGTGATATTTGCAACCCTTACTTAAAAATCCAGAGACATACAGAAGTCAATTATGGAAACAACAGATAAAATTGCCAGTTTCATGTGGAAGACAACACAAAACTACAGAAATGTCACTTGAAATACAGGGTTTACGACCATTGAACAAGATGTCACAGATTCCCGTGGTGATGGAAAACAAAAATCATTTACTGCCATTATAAAAACGATGTTTAGACTCATCGGAACAAACCAGTATCGTCTGCACTGAAGTAATTTAAACTCTATAAACAACAAGGAAAAGCAAATCTTGGAAACACTACAGGTAGTTAACAGGAACCGAAAAATGGTTGTTTTTTTATGCATCACATTTATTTACAAAGATATCAGTTGAAAAGACTAGAGATATTCTGTTCTAACATCTATCCCAACTTCTATTACTAAAGCATGAATTAGTAAAGCTTCTGCTGATGTGTACATAAAAAAGTCCAATTTCAATTTAATGATGGTCTATACATTAAAAGTATTCGATGTTAACCCAACTTTGTGGTTAAACTTTAAACTGTTGTTCTATGTGAAGAATATGCTGAATATGTTGCTGGATCATTTGCTCTGAAGTGATTTTTCACATATCAACTCATATCAGCTTATTTTCATATGCTGTTCAATTTAGGTTTCAAAAGTATATTGAAGACGATAGCATGTAATGGCTATCAAAGAATGAAGCTATGCCAGGAGCTGAAAATAACAACGCCTATTGAAGTAGCTTCAAGTCTTGAACTGTGACAGTTCGAAAACCATACCCTCCAATCATTCCGTATTTTTCTAGCCTAAGATTCCTGCGTCTTTATTGTCTGTATATCTGCAATCCTCGGAAACCATTCCAACTCACGGAGTCGCACACTTCTTTGTCTGAACTAAGCATTGTAGTTCTCAATATCCGCATTCTTCGATGAAACAAACACCGCTGACCAATATTCTGGCACCTCGGACCTTCAAAATCTGTATGCGAGAGAAGGATATAAGAACTAAGCAGGGCTATTCACTTAAGCTCACTAATTGAGGCGCAGTGGATCCAAGAAATTTATACCTCGATGTACTCAGCGTCCTACGGTTTTTAAGGCGTTCAAGTACACATGCTGAAAGTAACTTCCTCCATTCAGTTCGAGTTAATGGTCACTTGCGCCCGGTTTAACAGAAATCCTGTAGCTGCAGTCACTTTGTAATCCCACCGAACACACCTTCAGATTACAGTCCGCGGCAGCGAAAGAAGAGCTCCATCGCAAAACCACAGAACCTCCAACTAAAAGCCAAACGTTCAAACATGTTTTCCACATCAGGTGATTTCAAAACATGTTAGGTTAGGTTAGGTCAGGCAGAAAGACACCTACATGGAACTCTAAACTAAACAGTGGACAACGAAAGTAGGCAACAGGCGTCCTCAGACGATAACACATTTCTGACCAACTCGAAAATCAGACACAATGAAAAACTTTAGATGACGGGACATCAAACGTCCTCAATTCAACGATGGAAAAAAATAAATAATATGAGAATCAATTATGGCTAAAGAAGGTTCATGGGAGATAGCCACTGCTTCAACAGCACATATTCGGACAGTAATCACCCACAGGTTTCAGCACTACTATATTTGCGTCTAAATAGACGTAGAAAAACTACACCAACATGACTCACTCCAAGTGCACCTCGATGATGAGAAAATTAAGACTACCGTCAATAAGAAACTGGCTATACACTCATCGGAACAGGATAATATCACTCAACCTATAGAAGCCTGGTGCCATCTCCAATCTACTGTAATGACGAAAATGAGGACTCTAACTGACCCTCAGAAAGGTGTTAAAAGATGCTAATGGATCCCGATAACTTATTCTAAATTAACGGATGCATATGAACACATTCCTGCTGGATCCGAGCCCAATGACAAGTGCAGGCAGATGAGAAGTCACTGCGGTAACATTGAACAGAGGTGCACGCGGGTAGCGAAGGCTAAATAAATGAAAGGAGGAGCCACGACAAGTTACAACAGACATTTATTTACACTTGTCAAGGAAGCTGGGAGAAAACGTCAATGGTTAATGAGACTGTGGAGGATAAGCATGGGTCAACAATTCATTCATTCACAGACACGACTACTGGGACATTATGCGAAACACTTCGAGGAACAATTCAACTCGTCCCTAGCGTCGATTCCGTCGCCGACTTTTCAGTGGGATATATGCCTACGACTCTTGCAGAAGTCGAGTGGGCTGTAAACAACCTGAAATGAGGAACGGCACCAAAGCTAGATGGGCTAGTACCACAGATAGTTGAGGAGTATTGGTTGGATGAACTGAAAAATTAGCTAGCGTAAGGCAATTACACACGACGCCCTCTAACCTGTCTCAATCATTGATTGTTCCAGTCTACAAAAAAATCGAGAAATCCTCTTATGGCAATCAAATATCATATCAAATGATTGTGGGCAATATATCCTGCATCATGTAAATAATACTATATCATGTGTGTAAGTGTAATACGAAGTCACACAGGAGAGTCAGTCCGACAAACACAGTGTCTAAGATTTTAAATTCTGTAGTCAACAAACGTCTCAGTGGAACAGAGAAACAGAAACCACGAGAAAACTAAGCAGGTTTCAAATCCACTGGTGGGTGTATCGACCAGATACTCAACTTCCACCAGATTCTGGAACACAGACACACTTATCAATGCCCAACGCAAGCTGTATTTCTTCACCTGAAGGTGACATCCAACTCCTTTGATCGGGAGATCTTATGGTGGTATCTCTCAGTGAAATGCGTACTGGGCAGGTCCACCACTCTGTTGAAGGTTCTGTACTCGAACACTCCTGGGCGTGTTAGGGCCTATGGTGAGTGAGGTATCAGGTGAGTTGTGTGTATCAAGTGGTGTCCATCAAAGATGTCCTCCCTCTCTCCATTATCATTATTCCTATTATTACCACTTAATTCTACCATAGATGTGCTGATGGAGGTCTCCCACCCATCGTCTGACTTCACAGGAATTGATCTCGTCACAGGAGACTCGTTAGTGGGTCTGAACTAGATTACACGAACGACATAGTCGTGTTAGGTGAAGACGCTGACACGATGGAAAGTCTGCGGGACACACTGAGCGGTGATTTTAGAATGTTTGTAAGGTGCGATTGCTTTACGTTGTTGTTCTGTCTAACAGTGTGGAGTGAAGTGGTTGAATGTGTTGACGACTGTACTAACCTAGGAAGTCGGAGCAGCCCAACTTCGTAAGGTGAGTGGCTGACGAAGTATCTGCACGAATTGATATTTGACAACGTACACCAATAATTGCTTTGAGACTAAATGATATGGGTTAGAATCGATGTCCGTGGGGCAGATATATCTACACATCATCTTAATTGTCATACTGATTTTCATCACTGTCCCACTTTATGTTATTCATCAACAATTTTCTACTATTTTGGAATGTGTTCTTCATTTTTCATCCACCTAAAATGTGACCATATGAGGTGTGGCAACTTCGACGGTTACGTAGTATTGTGATGTACATCGAAGTAAAACGAGTCAATGTCTCAATTTTTATTGCTGAAATATATTACATTACTCACCTTTGACTATTATAAATAATTTTGGAACAAACTAGTTGAAAGAAATCGAGAAAAATGCTCGATAAGTTTGCCGTTTTTGAGCACAAACACGTTATTTAAACGAAGTACAGACTACCCTCTAACTTTGCCATGAAAACATTCGAACGAAGCATCTCAATAACGCAATGACAACAGAAAGTGGGAAGTTGAAGCAAACTAAGTGAGCTGATATGGTTACTAAGGTATTTACAAAAATTTGATTCAATAGGATTTAACTTGTTCCTACCTCTTCATGGCTTGACCAATATATATATATTATTCAAAGTTAAGAATTGATGTAAATTAGACATATAGAAAAGAAATGCAGATAACTTTTAATATAAAACTAGAATTAGTGAAAATACTCAAAATACCTACCATTCGAAAATGATGTGAGATTATACTTTTCAAACTGAAACCCAAAGTTACAACCGGATAACCAATGCTAAAGAATAATACAAAGAAGACAAAACACAAGACATAAACCACTAAGTCACATAAAAGTCGTGTACAAATAAACATAACAGAGCTAACATAATAGTTACCAAGCAACTGTCAGTAAACTAATGCGTAGCATCCATACACTGCTCCGACCACTTCATTCATAAGTTACACCCAGAAAAAATTGAAAATAAATGCTACTCATTAACCACAACCAGATGTATTAACAAGGCCATGAAGCAAGTCCTGTTGAGGTAAGATAACAATTTTATTCAATTAGCCGGACTAAAGTACCAACAAGATCCGAACCAGTAACATGATAAAACTGAGATTTCAATTACCTTCCTGCCTGTTAAAGCAGCATTTTATGCAATATGTTATATTTTAAAAACTGAAGTAGGCAGACGATCGTGAGATCTCAACGCTAACAACAATATACTATCAGTATTCGGTCAAGAGTAGGTGTCACAAGGACAGATCTTTTGCCAAATAAATTTCTTTAAATCTTATCATGACGAAACTAATAAATCAATGCTTGATGAATAACAACTGAAACTACATGAGTATACTTCCCTCACTCAGAAAAGATCATAAAACGAAACATAAAGTGGAGTATATCACTGAATGTCAGGAATCAAAAGATAGGTGCTCAGATATTAGATAGAACCATTGTTTTTACTGAACGGGTTTTTAGGAAGATTCTGATTTACCAGTCCCGTAATACAAGACGAATAATTTATTGCGTTTACTACACTGGATACAGAATCAACTTTGACCATACTGTATCTGAAAGTCTATTCAGAATCACTACACCTACAGAGATTCTGAATGCAAATAACATTATTAGTCATCACATAATAAGTGTGATTAACAACATAATGAATGTGCTTGTGCATAATTAGTGAGTCGTAATTTTCTCATTTTTTAAAGTCCGAAACGTACAATAAAAAATTTGTAACAAATAAATAAAAAATGGGTAGTAGTAACGGTGAAGAACAAAAAGATTAACACTACCCCTCGATACCTTCGAGGGAAAACAAAAACGTTGGTCCTTATCTAACGTTCACATTGATTTGCACTCTTCTATTTCAGTCTGTTTATTAGAAATGTCACATAATGTCACACTGGATAACTAACGTTTCGGACATAATTTATTGTCCCTATTCATATCAGTCATGGACAACAAATTATGTCCAGTAAATAATGCTGTTCCTTCGCTGTGTGACAATTTTAATAAGCAGTCTAGAATGGAATTACAATCTACCACAGCGGCCAAGTTTTACTCATATAATAATGGTTTGCACTCTGTTCGTCATATTAAATTCGATTAGATTACAACCTTAACATTGGGGTTGAATTAATTTTACATCAGTGATGGGATAATACCGGATAACATGTCAAACAATAGTCTTTACAAACAGTAAGCTTGTGTACTAAAACAATACCGAAAACAACCTAGAAGTGCGTTTAAACTTTTAATAGAAGCATGGTGTACGATGAAGACAGTGAACCACACATATTAAGCGAACAATTTAAACTTGTAGCTCAGTTGTTAGAGCGCCGGGTCAGCAACCCGGAGGCCACTGGTTCGACCAAGATTTTTATTCCACCTTCAATCATCACCCAGTATTAATAATGCAAGTCCGTCAGACTACGGCTACCTCGGATAATTAAATTAAATGACACTCAGTTTACGTTAAGTCACATAAGCACTTGTGACTGACAGTAAGAGAGAAAAAGCAGAGCTTAGTGAAGAAAATTATGCTCCGAACGCGAAACCTCCCGTTTGCTAAAATTTCTAAATCCAATGGAGTTATATAGTAAATAAGATCAATTGAAGATGATGAAAAGGCGAAATATAGAAGGATGGACCATAACAATGTGTTCAAATGACAAGCCTTTCCGCAACAGATATTATTAAAAATTATATCAGAGTTGTTTCCCGCTAAACTGCTGTTTCTAATGAGTAATGCTGAAACATTTTATGAAGGCTTGAATACCTCTAGCTTACATATTGCTCTTATCACCAGTAAAAGGATTTATTTATATGACATTCTCAAACATAAACATGACTCCCATCAAAAGGATTTATATTTCTTTCTTTGATTTAAGTCATCCGACAGCTAAGCTCAAGAACGTCAGAATCAGCAAAGTCGGTATTATGCTTCGTGTGCATATTACATCGCTAACAATATAATTTGTAGGTAGTATAACTCACTGATGGTGAAAAAACAGTTGTTAGACCATATTGACAACTTCATATTGCATACTGCCTATATTTAAACCTATTTCGCTACTAAAATTTTACTGTTTTGTAGGCTGCTACATAATTGTGTTTTATTGTAAGATATATCCAGTTAGCGGAAAATCATATTTTTTCACATTTGACAATTTCAATTTCACAATATCCATAAACTCACCAATGAGCTGCAAAAGGTCTGCAGAGATCTATACCGAGGGGGAAGGTTTTCGGATCACGGAATCGAACAGCTACTTCGACATAGAAGAATAAGAAACAGAGTGCAATCGTTGGAACATACACGCCACGATCTAAATGAAAGAAAAAATAATTTTTTGTTCAACAAATTAGTTAAGTATGATAGCTAACAACAGATCTCTTTTCACAAAAAAGAAACGTGGATATTTCTTACACTAAAATTTAACCAATACTGAATGAGACACGCAACAACCATTCAGGGAAAACAACCACAACAAAGAAAACTTTCTTCAGCAGCAAATTTACTCAACTCACTGAAACCAGATGTCAGCTACAAGTAGAATTCATAAAACGACATTTCCTGGTTGCATACACTATGGAAAACTTCTTTTTGAAATACATGAGAAAGAAATCGAATTTCAATAGTGGTGCATGAAGTTGGCCATGTACGGCGGTTGAATTCAACTGTAAATCCTACACCATCGCCACCGACGGAGCACAAGGCAGTGAAAGGTATGCTAATTTGAGGAAGACATTTTCCAATCCCCTTTCTGATGGAGAAGGCAGCAGTCATAATCATCAACAAAGGACCATGCATTACTGCATAACGGTCCGAGTTGCCACAGCTCGTATCAGTCCATCAAGTATAAAAGCAGTTAAGCGCAAGATGAAGAAAATTCAGTCAAAACGAATATAAAGTACGAAAAGAGAGAAAGGAAGAATGAGAAAATGGTGAGACTCGGTATAGCGTCGTCAAGATGAGAATAATGTGTGTAAACATCTGCTCCACTGATATCGGTTGTGAGACATATCACCTAGAGTCTCCAACCACTGGTTCCTCTTGTCCCCCGGACCCCAGTCACCTAGTCTGGATCTTCCCACATGGCCTAAACTAACAGTCAAAGACTTCATACATTGATGCCATGTTTTAGTCTAGCCACCTCGGGCCCTTTTCCAGCCTGGACCTACTTCGGCCAACATTGTGTGACGAGGCAATCGGTGACTAGGCATACCTAACACATGTCACAACCATCTTAGTCGATGAAGGTTTATAACTTCGTCAACTGACTTATCTCTTCGCCCTAAAACTCTATACCTGACTTCTGCGTTACTCACGTGGTGACACGACGAAATATGGCCTGCACCACGAAGACAGTGGTGGTCAATCACTTGAAGCCTTCTCATGTCTTTCACCGTCGATGGTCATGTTTCACAGCCATACAGTAGAACAGAGCGGACTGCTGTGCAGTACACGTGACCCTTAATAGACGAGCGGATATCACAGCTACACCACAGTTGGCGTAAGTTGGCGAAAGCCAGTATTCGTGCAGAGATTCCATCGGCCACTGAGCCAGCTACTAGGGTAGGGCTGATCCTACTTCTCAGGTAAGTGAAGTGGTCGACACACTCAATCACTACACTCTCTGTTGGCAGCCGCGGTGTGGCACCGTTGAAGACAAATCCTGGAGCAACAATTTGCATTTGGGTGTTGAGAAATGCATCCCAAATACTCTCAAATTACCACTTAGTGTCCAGAGGACTCTGCATCCTATCAGCGTCTTCACCTGACAGGACTATGTCATGTCATCTGCATATTCTAGGTCTAACGAAAATTCTCCTGTAATTAGGTCAACGTCTGTGTAATCAGGTGACGAGAGGCAGACCTCCATGAGAATATCTATGATGAAATTGAATAAGAATGGAGACAGTGGGCAGCCTTGACAGATACCACTCGATGAGCACAGCTCCCCGGATATCTCACCATAGAGAGCCTTCAATCAGGTGATGTACTTACTCGGCACGCCTTTTAGTGAGAGACATTGCCATAAGACTTCTCGATCAATGGAATCGAGTGCTGCCTTCAGGTAGAAAAATAGTTATTGTCGGGCGTCGGTAAGCCTATGTTCTAAAGCCCAATGCAGTGTGAATATTTGGAAGGCCGTGGCACACGAAAGAAAACGCACTTAGTCACCTTGTGCACATCCGTGAAGTAGGCAGCAAACCACACCTCTTATATGGGGGCTAGTGATACTACCTGGCCGCTCAAACCTCGGCAGACGGGGCGGGACTCGAACCCGTGGCCCAGTAGTTGATAGTCATCTCCTTAAACCACTGAGCCACAACAACAGCACCATGCGATGCTGGTCATTCGAAGGAACCATTTTTCCCCTGTCTTTAGTGACCCAATCAGCATTATTACTTTGCCATCGGACTCATATCACAACGTAGCTGTTTGCTGTACGGTGGTAATTACTGTTAGTTTTACCACCATCCAGCAGACCTTTCTCGTGTGATAGGAACTCCAGGAAAAAATGTTTCTGCCACTATAGCTCTTTGGCTTATTGTGATATGCAAACGCGACCAAAGCATTAGAATAACAGCAGTCAGTTGCATGACTAACTGTTTTAATGACAGTATGTTTGTCAGACTGATTCTATTATGGTTATGCCAAGAAAATTTACGGCTTTCTTAAAGACTCGGACAAACAGCGAATGAGATTAGTCAAACGAAATCATATGTGATTCCCATGAGCTGGTGAACACTTCGGTTATTCTAACAATTAATACACGATTATCGTCCTTAGTTGTCTCTCCTACTTGACCATGTGACCCTGCAACCCTTTCTCCTTCTTGGCTTCCTTCACAGATTTCAACTTCTTCAAAATATGGGAAACCTACATCAGTGTTTCACTATGAATTGGATTGGATATTAGCAATAGTATGGCAGTTGGAGGAGAGTTGAATTGCTCCTCGAAGTATTTCGCCAATTGTTCTCCTATGCGAGTGAATCCATAGATCCATCCTTCTCCTCCATAGTCTCAATAAACGTTGACCTTTTGCCTCAGTTTCCTTTCTAAATAACTGTCCACTGTCAACTATCGCGAGTGCCTCTTTAGCCTTCAGTGCTCACCACTACTCAGGATCACCACTGACTCTTTCGAACTTTTATCTTAGGGTTAGTTATGCCCATTATTGCCGTTGTTGCTACAGTAGACTATATTTAGCAACAGGCTTCTTCTGGATGAATAATGCTAACCTCTTCCGGTAAGCGTCCAGCAAGTTCCACTTTAAAGATAGTCGTATCATCCACATCACTGAGGTGACCTGGGATTGACCTCTTCTCTTGGTTGCATTTTTCCAATCTCTATTTAGATGTAGACACACGTACTCGAAGCAAAGTCCAAACACATCCTTCAGGAGAAGTGGTAATCTGCCAACCCTTTCCAACGATTAGTGATACCAATGTGATTTATCTGCACCGATCGACTAGTTGAGATCGGTGGATGCCGAGTAAGACAGTTTCTCTCTTTACGTTTGAAGTTCGAGTTGGGTAGAAACAGGTGATCGTCTGAGTATAGTTGTAGCAGGCCATTGCCGTTACCCGTCGGTTCGTCTGGAATTCTGAAAGTGCCATCTAGGTGTCTTCCTGTCTGACTTGGTCTAACCACTTGCGAATTGAAACCACCTGATATGACACACTCGTCTGAGTGTTTGGCTTTCAGTAAGGGACTGGACAGTTTTCGAAAGAGCTCTTCTTTCACTTCACGCGAACTACAGTTGGTGAGTGCGTAAGCAGAGATCACAAGGAGACAACTGTGTGCTCTGCTATTCTTTGTAGTTCTCATTGCACTATTCAGTCAACCAGTACCCAAGCAACTTTCAAATGGGCAATCCAGTAGAGTAGTGTACTTTCTGCTTTAAGACTCAATGTTATATCTACATCTGCTATGCTGCGAGAACTAGCTATCGAATCCCCTGAAACTCAAAGGGTGGATTTTGTGGATTCAGCATACTATATGATGTTAAGCGAATAATGATAATTAAGTCTAGTATGAGTGTTTCACATGTATGCTGTCCCATAAACTCAAATCGTTATCAAGAGCTGCAGAGCTGGAAGAAATAAATGACGATGTAGGACTAATGACTGACGAACGTGAGAAAACGTTAGCAGGTAAAGATGTTTAAGGTTGATACTGATCTGAGGGAACTTGAGTGCTTATACAGTTGTGAGGACGGTTGACACATTTTAGCTACCCCACAATAGAAGGCTAGTTCTTACTAAAGTATCTGAAAAAGTTGGGTTAGTAATAAAGGTGGATGATCACAGAACCCTAGGACCAGTCGCTTTAGGTTGATCACACGGGTTTTTAGGAAGTTTGAGGCTTTTTTTTAAATTCGGCTATAAGCTTATTCTGCCCGGACTGGAAGACCATGGAGTAGGCAGGTGCCATTTTTTAGACTAACCATTTCTAACCCCCATTCCCACGAAGAAGGCAGAATCAGCATGGTACCGCTGGTCATCCACAGGAAACGACTGTTGTCACATCCTATCCAGCCAGTAGTACGACTTTGCCCTCACACTCTCACCACAGTGTAGCATTTTACACTACAGTGGTAACTTCTTATGGTCTTACCACAACAAACTTTCCAACAAACTATCCAACATGTGTCGTGGTGTCACTATGTCAGTAACGAAGAAGTCAGGTGATGCGGTTTTGAACCTTCATCGACTCAGATGGCTGGGATTCGTGTTATGCATGCCTAATCACCGTCTGTCTTGTCGCACAATGTCAGCTGAAGTAGGTTCAGGCTGGAAAAAGGCTAAAGATGGTCGGACTAAAACATTGCATTACTCCATGAAGTCTTTGGCTGTATGTGACCCAGCTTAGGAGATCCAAAATGCTCGGTTGGGGTCCTTGTAACAACAGAAACCAGTGGCTGGATACTCTATGGTTCAGAATCGATCTCAGTGGTGCAGTTGCATTCACCTTCATCTTAATCTTTATATTGATTTCAGTATCTTCTTATTCCTCCTTGCTCGCTTTGCTACTTTGTATTGCTTCTGGTCGATTTTCTTTCTTTCTTTACCTTTCATCTTATTACTTTGTTACTTGACTTGATGATATGAAGTGTGACAACTTAAGTCCTCACGCAGTAATTCTTATAGTATCATTATTTGTCCCTGGGTTCCTAATGGAGCATACGGCTTCAGTAGCACGTCTCCATTGCACTCTCTTCTCTGCAAACTTTTGAACCTGGCTACACGACAGCCCACAAGCTCTCATTTCTTTCTCGCACGATCTCCTCCATGTCACCCTCACCTCGGACGCCCA